GTATATATTTACCCTGTGGGGGTAGCTGTGGGGGTAGTAGTGGTATATATTTACCCTGTGGGGGTAGTAGTGGTATATATTTACCCTGTGGGGGTAGCTGTGGGGGTAGTAGTGCTGGTAGTGCAGCGGCTCGTCCTCGCTGGCCTCTCCTGGTTCAGGACTTTCTCTCTCCAGGCTGCTGACTGAACCCCGGTGAGGAGAGTCCGACACACTGGGCTCCCTGCCTTGAGGACACTCTGACACACGCACGCACGCACACACACACAGAGTTTTACTACAGTTGTGAGCACCATCACTGACAGCATGTATTCTTTGACCAAACTATAAAGTGGATTGTTGCTGCTGTGAGAGGTAGTTAAGAGACAACAACACTCTGATAGCAGGAGTCTGTCTGTTATGTCACCTGAAGAGTCAGTGTCTTCTCTAACGGCTCGTCTATAAATGTTCTTTGTTAAATGTTAGTTTTATTAAGCTAGGAGTGTGACACGTAGCATTTTTAAAATATCTTCTCAAAGAGCTTTTGGGGCATCCTGTTGGCCTGAGGGTTTAATTCACTGACCATATAATTGTAATGTCCCCTTTGCTGCATGTTATCCCCCAACTCGCTCCCTGTGTTTCCTGTCAGCCTTTTACAGCCTCCTGTTTTAAAGGCTTATTTCTACTGTGGTCCTTTATAAAACCATAACACTAGTCACGCCAGAACAGGCTGTCTGTTCCAGGCTCTCTCTGTTATATACGTCAGCCTGCAAGTTACTGAGAAACCTATTTTCAAGGTCACTGTAAAGATGTGATCAATTGTAGGTTTGAATGTAAATGGCTCAGTTTGTACAGCAGCAGAATAAATACATGTGTTTTTGTCCATTAAAGTCTTAAAATGAAACTATTTAAAATGTGTTGAACCACCTCTCACAAAATAGCTGTGAGTGTCTTTGAGGTAATTCTGTAAATACACACGCACATTTTAATAGTTCAGTTAAAGCTGACCCTCTTCTCAACTGCTCAGCTTTCTGAAATGGTCAGTGAATGAAGTTGAAACAGTGGTCATATGTAAAACAGATATCTAAAAAGAAGTTAACTTTTCAGTCATCTTTTTTATACTCTTTGTCAAATTTTATATTTTCATATACTTCAGATATGGAAGCTGTGACATGGCTGGGTTAAAGCTCAGGGTTTTTGGCTTCTCATATAAGTTTTTCTCACTCCAGTAAACTGTCTTGCTCCCTGAGTAAGATAAGTTTTCTAATATTAATGTCCACAAAAAAATAAAAAATCATTCAATAACGTGTGGACTGTCAACATGTCACTTTGGATAATTTCCTCATCTTTTTATTCTCGCAAGAAAATTTTCTTCTTCCAAGGTAGAGAAAAAAACCCAACACACACACACACACACACACATAGAGAGTTGGTTGAAGACAAGATAACTCCTGAGCGCTGAAGGGGAGCTTATGAGGCCGGTGTTTATCGCTGTTTACCTCCCTGTCATAATCCACGCTCCGCTGGCGGCAGTTTTGTCATTGAACCATTACTCACAGATGCAGTGTGATAGCTGATCACATCTGATGGTAAACAAACCGACTCTGTCTTTCTCAGCACCACTGGTCCCTCACAGATCATTTGTAAATAATAAACATCAGTTCTGAGTTCAGTCGTTCTCGGGGTGGATTAAAACCCGGAGAACGACTGATGTGTGAGGCTGATATTGTTTTAATACAAGTGAGATCTGGACCAGTCAGTGTCATCCATCTGTGATATGATGAGCTTGGTTCACACTGACAGATTACATGTTTATTAACACTGGTCATTAATGGGAAGCCTCTGGTGTCACATAAAATAACCCATCTGTGGGATGTGTCAATACCCCAGACGTACCGCCCATCCATGATGGGGCCTCTATGGATTGGACATAGCTCTGACATGTCAAGGTATGGACAAGGAAAGTCTGGGGATGTCCTGTGGTGTTTGGCACCAGCGTCGTCACGGCAGATCCTTTGAGTCCTGTGGGTTGCGAGATAACGTAGCAGCATGTCCCAAGGATGCTCGATTGGATTTGGATCTGGTGGATTTGGAGGCCAGGTCAAGGCCTTCAGCTCGTTGTCATGTTCCTTGGGCCATTCCTGAGCAGTTGTTGCAGTGTGGCATGACACATCGTCCTGCCATTGGCTACTGCCATTGGGGAGTGTTGTTGCCATGAGGGGGTTTGCTTGATTCATAATGGTGTTTGGGTGGGTGGTGTGTGTCAAGTGGCATCCACATGAATGCTAGGACCCCATGTTTCCCAGCAGAACAATGCACTGGAACAAGATGATCGATGTTATTTACTTCACCTGTCAGTGGTTGTGTTTTGGCTGATTGGTGTATACTTCATCAGCTGCAGCTAATGAGCTAATTCATGTTAAACATGTGAGCTGATAGATGGTATCATACTCAGCACCACACACCAACAGCATATGATGCTTATCAAAACACCAACATCTGTTGTTTTCCATTATAGACCGTACACAGTACATCTTGACATTCGTCATCATGGGTTGATGGGATATGTCACCGTCCTACCGTCACACCATTGATGCATGCAACTTCTCTAAAATGCATCCACTACATGAAATAGCACTTCCTGGCTACTACTTCTGTCTGTGTGACGTGTCTTGTGTGTGCTACAGGTGACAAGTGATGCATTTCAAGTCCCATAATGATACAGGATTATAAAAAAACTTTTACTGTTAGTAAACAGTGTGACTATGGCGGGGCATGGATGGAGGCAAAACAATTCTCCACAGACATTAGCCAGCACTAGCTAGCAAGTTCTGTTGGCTTATTTGAGACGATGGAGGAAGATGGTAGTGGTGCATTAGGAATCTTACAAAGGAGGACCACACTTGTTTGTTTTGCTATGGAAGCTAACGTTAGCTAATGTGCTAAAAAGTTAGCGTTGCAGAAATCCAATCTTCCTCTTAATCCCTCCCCAGTTTCTGATGAGGTGGACATGATAACCCTTAATACACATAACCTTATTCATCCCTACAACAGGAAATACTTTTTCCCTAACCTGATATGAAGTGTGCGCTGCACATGTGAGCATTTTTGATGATGGCCTCCGTCCAGTCCTTTGGTCTTATCACATTTAACCATAGTTGTCTTTGTTTTTGTTGACGGGCAGTGGCGGCTGGTTTTGAGCCATGACTCCTTCTATTCTGGCTCCCAATAACACAACAAGACAAACACTTTTTAACACTCCTGTGGAGCCTACAGCCCTGTGGGGGAGAGGCAGCTGCACCTCCAGCTAACAAACTGATATCATTGTGATGTCGGCTCTGAATGGGTCTATATGAAGATTTCTTTTTTTAATTCCAGGTCAAACTGTGTAAATTCTCAGGTCTTTCTGTGGTTGTGGGTTTGGTTTCAGTCCAGCTGTAAAAATGTTTGTCACATTTTATAGGGCAGCTGAACAGAAGTGAAGAACTAAATGTGTCCAACTGCTTGTTGTCTCTACCTGAACAGTCCTTCCTCTGTCTGTCCATCTTGTCCACACAGTCCAACAGGCCGTCAATCTGAACCTTGATCACTGTCAGCTCCCTCTTTATGGCAAGCAGCTCCGCCATCTTCACTGCAGAGAGACAGACAGAGGTGAGTGGGGACAGTAGAAATACAGTAAAAGCTGCATATGTGATACACTATGTTGTCAGAAGTACGTGGACACCCCCGTGTTCTTCTAACTTTACATAAGCAGTTTGTGTTCGTCCCTTTCCTCTTTCAACATGACGATGCCTCCGTGCACAAACCAGCTCTTAAAGAAATGGTTTCAGGTTTTTGTGTGGAGGAACTTGAGTCCTGACCTCAACCTCATCCAACACCTTTGGCATTAACTGTAACACCGACTGTGAGTCTGACCTGATCACCCAACATCAGTGTTGGCCCTCACTAATATAAATCTCTGCAGCAGGTTTTCACATCTGGTGGAAAGACTGAAACTAGAGGAGAGAAGATATGAGTGTAATGTCTGTGTTGCTTGGTGTGTAGTGTCTCTAGTTTCTAGTCATCGATGGGAACATGAACCAACATGAACGATCACTCTCAACAGTTTTCTGAAATTGTGTTAAAGTGTTAAAGTTTTAGGACTCTTCCTTCACGTTGGCTAAAATATTTAAAAATGGACCAGAGTTTGGTTTTATAGCTCCATGCAGATGCAAATGTCCAGTGACCCCTGCAGCCATCAAGCGTGTACTCCTGCACCATCAAGTCCTCTTAGCGCTGCACTCCCACCTCCTTCCCCTGCACGAGCCTTCGCCCTCGCTGTGCTCTGCAATGGACCGCAGGCGCCGCCAACAGCTCACCAAACGACCCTGAAAACTACTTCACTCCTAAAAGCTTTTCGACCTCAGGAGCTTGCAAAGGCAATCTAATTTCCTTGTGATGGGGCGAAGTAAAAACTATTAAGGCTTGTAATAAACTAGTATAAACAATTCTTATTTGCCACGCACTATTAACTCAGTCTAATTGCGAGCGCTGATAGGCTCGGCAGGAAGGAGAGCCCCGCGGTACAGAAGCTTTTAATGAAGAGACCATCTGGCGCCCCCCCTCCACCCCGCCTTCTCTGCAGCACCCTGGGGCCCTACCACCGAGACGAGGCATCACACAGGCGGGAGATAACATGAGCAGGGTTTTAGAAAAGGAAGGATCCTCTAAGTGCTCCAGGTTTCCACAGGAGCTCGTGTTGGCTGCACATTGAGATTTTAGAAAAGAAAAATGTTACAGCCACAGATGTGATCACCCAGGGCCTGGCTGTTGTGTGGGTTTGAAATTTAAAAGCCTTTAATTGGAGAAGGTTGAGGCATTTCGACCTCTGCCATCAGCAGGGTGTCAGTGTCTCTGCCTTCTGTGGTTAAAAGCTTTTTAACATTCAAACCCACACAAATGCAGTCATAATATTTCTTTTCATCGTTTACACACTGCAGCTTTGCGGTCATAACCCCAGTCATAATGATTTTTTATGTATTCATTTGGTTCAATGATCATGTGGATCTCAGCAGAGAGATAAAACTGCATGACTCATAAATACTTCTGATAAACAAAAGCACAGGACAAAAATCTAAATCGTCTGAATCACAACAGTCTTTGGAAAGTTGGCTTTAAGGAGGTGAAATACCCAAAGTTCAACATGTAGTTCAGCATGCTAGACTCAATATGTACTATTAACATGCACGTGCGAAGATGTTGTAATGGAAAGAAGAACAGACTTGACACCTTTCAGCAATCAGTTGACAAGAAGTGGCTAGAAGTTTGGAATAATTATGACTTATTGATGGTAAACTAATGCCCCATTTCCACTGCTTGGTACAGCTCTGCTCAACTCAACTTGAAACACTCTTTTGGTTCTCCATTTGCAAAAGTTGTGGAGTGTACCTGGTACCTTTTTTGGTACCACTTCAGTTGAGGTTCCAAACGAGTTGAGCAGACACTAGAAGGTGGAGTTAAAGGTGGGATAGGCAGTTTAAATTTGCCGTCATTGGACATAAATCCCATAATGAATGTTAAGCATATTGTAATTCAAGTGGCCTGACAGAAAACTAGACTTCTGCAACTCCTCTTGGTTCTGTTCTCTGGCTTTAGAAAATCTAGCTGATAATGCACGTCCCTTCAGATGGTAAAAGCACTATTTACATATATGACACTATTACATTTAGTACTTTTCATGACTGTCTGTCCCCAGTGTTTGTCCTGTTGGAGCCAACGCAGGAAGGTTCAGGGGGGTCGTCAAAAACTTTAGATTCGTCTTTTACGAACAACGAATGCCATGACCTGAAGTTGTTGAGACATCTTGCAGACTGACATGGTTTTAGACAAGCTGGTGAAGAAAGTCAAACATGTAGCAACATCTGATGAATCTAAGACCAATATTCACTCTTCTTTTAGCTCTGTTTTTGGTCTCCTCCAACTGAGAAAATATTTGGCCTTTTACTGCTAAATATTCCATTTCTGCAATATTTACAAAAAGGCCACGATCTTTACCTCAACTTAAAGTTCAGTTACGTTCAGTATGAACATTATCAGTGAACAGTTAAAATAATCAACATGTTCTCATTCGAGTGCCGCTTAGTCAGTGGACCTTTACGCCAAATATGACATGGCAGGTACCCTCCTGTTATGGATGTTCAGCAGGGATGTTGTGTCAATTAATGCTCTTTACATGCACTGCATCTTTTCAAATACACTTTTAGTTTTTCAAGAAATGTAAAGTTTCTGCTCATTACATGCATACAGTCTGTTTTTTTTTTTGTTTTTTGTTTTTTTTTTTTAAAAAACAAAGGTTTAAGGTTTACTTCCTCAACTTTGGGCAACAAAAGCCGGTTGCCGGTAGTGTTAACAAACTGTCGCTGACCCATGCGTATCATACTGCTGCAAAAGGCGCCTATCTTCCACCAGATCACTGACAAAGCAGTGGTTATTTGACGAGTTGGGAGAACAGGCTGAAATAAACGTTAGGACTGTTAGTGTTTGTTTCTCTCTTACATTTGCTGTCAGACGAGGACGTGTGTGTGTTGGTGCTCTTGCTGGAACCTCTGCTGCTCTTCGTCCTCAGAGCTGCTGTTGAAGAGGAAGAGGAGGAGGAGGAGGAAGATGAAGGGCGGGGTCGTTTGACAGGACTGGGATCCGCCGGGACTGAGGAGGGGACACGCTGGTAGTCAAACACCCTGCAAAACACACACACAGACAGAGTCCCATTATGCACTGCTGCCTGAGGCTGTGGCCTGTTCTCTTGATTGTTTTATTACTGTAATGAAGTGGAGGGTAATTTATGTCATCAACAGAATTCTTCTTTGTGTTTGCAACAAACTGAACAGCGGATCAGTCTGTCAAGTCATTTATAATATATAGAAATAAAAGTTTTTAAATGAAGCAGTTAAGGAAGAAATAGAAAAGAAATAATCTTTGTTTATCACAAGTACAACACTTTTAAATGCTATAAAATGAATCCACTAAAAGGCATTTTGTTGCCTGAATGACTGACACTGATATCTGATGTTTTGGTAGTAGTCTGGTGTTTTTCTATACTTTTCTGATTGTGGACAAATCCCATGAAAAGACACAATTTAACAAGAAGCCCATCTCGCAGTACTTCCTGACTTCCTGTACGTGGCTCTCAGCTCCAAGCCCATTGGTCAGCTGATCCATCAGCCGACGTAGCTGGGATGTGAGCTGAGCTTGACACTGTGCCTGAATTAATGCTAACCAACACCGACTTTCGCCCAGGAGAGTGGTGTTTGCATCCCATAAGATTCTAAAGCCAAACCCTGTTTGTTTTTCCTCAATCTAACCACGTGTGTTAGTCCTTGGAGTACTGACATAGTGTGTATATTTTAAAAGAGAAGGTACATTTCCTGTAAATCGGAAGTGTATTTTGAAAAACGACAATGCACGTAACAGGCAAAACTTGACACGACATCCCAGAGCATCAACCACCGGCGGACCCAGGGTACCTTTCACATCGTATCTGGATATGTGATGAGGTCACAGTGAGGATGTGTCGGAAGGTGAGAAAGTTGTCTGTTTCTGTTTTAAAGCCACTTCAGCAGGGAGACAAAAGTGTTTAAACCCAGCGCCTCTGCCTGAAGGACGTTCTCTGCTTCATCCACTACCCAGAAGAAATACCCCTTAATTCTTATAAAAGTATTAAAATGATCTATAAGGAAATTAATTGGGAATGAAAGCTCTAACATTATGATGTAGCTGAAAGTCAAATGAAAGTGAATTTGGTCTTAAACCTGCAGCCCAGCTGTTACCTGCTCGGGGTGAGCTGAAACTTTATGAAGGACAGAACAATTTATCTTATAAAAACTGATAACTGGCACTGATTTCATTTCATCAAATAATCCCACATTGCCTCTTTTCAGCGCTGCCTGCTTTACTTCGTTCTTCTAGCAGGCGTCTGTGCTAACTGATAGAGTGTGATGTGCTGCAGGTGAGATCTGACTGACACCTCCAATTTGATGCAGAGAGCGATAGAGGAGGCGATCAGGAGGACGACGAGCAGCCTTTCCTCTCCCCGTCAACCTCTGCTGTCTATCACAGCAGCCATCTACAGCTGGAGGAGGACTGACTGCAGGGGAAACATGAATACACTTCATCTCTTTTACTGTCACATAAATAAACATGCATAAACACACACACTTGCATGTACACAATTCATTTCAAAAGCTGCTTTAATGGTGTGGAAACCATTTGCACTTCAAAGGCCTGAGGAAAATGAGATCATGTGTTCCACAAAGACATGTTACGATGATTGGGGGGTTTTCACATGACATGAGAAGCTACAGGCTGCAGGTATCCTCCATGTGCCTGCAGGTTTATGAGCTGAAGGAGAGTAATTATATGCACATCACGTAGATGTAAGCCTATCAAAAAACAGCGTTTGCCAAGGATACTCAACTGTCTTTGCCTGGGGGCCACTTTTGGAAAATGACAGGAGACCATTGGCCAGTTGAAGGTACACTGCGCAGAGTTGTCGGTTACTGTTTGATATTTTTCAGTATGGCCTTTGTATTACTGTTTTGTTTTTTTTTTCACCTAAATACATAAATATAGAAACGAGTGAATCTGGGGTTGGCTTTCACTTTCACTTTCTCTGGTGAGCATGTGTACAAACATATATCTTCATTTATCAAACATATCAAATTCATCACCCAAAAGAGGCAAAATCGTTAATACATGTACAGAAAATTGTGTCTAAAAAAAACCCCTCTATAAAATTAGTTGGAGTGGAGTATTTTCATAGTATGGTATTAGTACTTTTACTTAAGTAAAGGACTTGACTACGTCTTCCACAACTGCCCATCAAGCACAGCACGATGTGACGCCATGCAAAGTTTACCCCATTCATTTTCTATGAGCACTGTGGGATGCCAGGACTGATGTGAAACTACAATTACTGCCTCACAGCTAGAGTTACAGTTAACGTCCATGTCTGTGAAAACATGGATGAGATGAATGCAAGCTCACAGTGACCTCTGCCTTTGACTGGCAACATCTCATCAGTTCATTGTTGAGTCCAAGTGAACGTTTGTGCCAAATTTGAAAAGATTCCCTCAAGGTATTCTTGAGATATCATGTCCATGAGAATGTGACGGATGTAAGGTCACAGTCACTTTGACCTTTGACCACCAAATTCTAATCAGTTCATTGAGTCCAAGTGAGTGTTCATGCCAAATTTGAAGACATTCCCGCAAGGTATTCTTGAGATATTGCGTTCACAAGAATGAGACAGATGCAAGGTCACAGTGATCTTTGACCACCATAATGTAATCAGTTCATTGTTGAGTCCAAGAGAATGTTTGTGCCAAATTGGAAGAAATTCCCTCAAGATATACTTGAGATACCATGTTCATGAGAACAAGATGAACAAGGTCACAGTGACCTTTTACCACCAAATTCTAGTCAGTTTATGCTTGACTTAAAGTGGATGTTTGTGCCAAATTTGAAGAAATTCCCTCAAGGTATTCTTAGGATTTTGCGTCCATAAGAATGAGACAGATGCAAGGTCACAGTGATCTTTGACCATCAAAATGTAATCAGTTCATTGTTGAATCCAAGCAGATGTTTGTGCCAAATTTGAAGAAATTCCGTCAAGGTATTCTTGAGATACATGTTCACGAGAATGGGATGGATGGACATACGGACTGACATGCTTTTCGCGGCGCAGAGACATAAAAACCACCTCTTGTCCAAAAACAAAGTTTGAAAATAAAGTTAGCAAAAATGTGAAAGAGTTAAAGTTCCATAAAGGTTTTTGTAAAAACAGATTCCAGCTGTAAAAGACGACCTAAAAATACAGACACTCTTCAGTCAAAGAGAACAGGAGGTTTCCCTCGTTACTCTCAAACTTCCAGCCTGCAGCTCTGACTTTCCTCATACAGACTATATTTTTATCTCTGTCTTATAGACTTCAGTATTCTGATTTTCACGTCTTTCTGTGGAGCACTTTGTGAGCGCTGCTGTTCTCTCAGTGTGACACAAACGTTTACTGCAGTGACGGAGAAGTACATCAGCACAGCAGAGGATTAACATATGATCAGCAACTTTCTAAATTGGTGAGGTGGTTTGATCAGCACATACATATTCAGACCTGACACTGTGTTTGTCCCTGCAGTCTCAACACATCAGGATAACCGGTGAGTGTGTGAGGAAGTGTGTGTTGGTCGAGGGGGGCTACTGTACCTCGCTAAGCTGATAATCCGCAGCCCGGCAGATAAACACCTATAAATATTTACAGGGCGGCGATGTTGACACGGCCGGGCTGCACAGCTTTACATCCTGTCTCACTCCGTATGGAGCGAGGCGGCCCGGCTGTGGAGTTACACTCACAAATTGAAGCTGTGTAATTCTCCAGATAAAAATGAAGTAAATAAAATACTCCAGATCATCCCTGGAGGCTTTTCAGAGGAGGCAGTGTGCATAAAATACTGTCCTTCTGTTGGCTGGATGGGTCAAATATTCTGCTGGGTCTGGACAAACACTGCTCAGGTGTTTTACACAAAATAACCGAGTAAAAAAGATTCAGAGGTTCATTATGTCTGAGATCCTCTAATCCCACAGTGCACTGCTCCCACAGCATCCCAACACAATTATCAGAATAAATGTTGGCTTTGTAGATTTCTGCACATTATTATGTGGCGGATATATTAAAACCTAGAGTTTCAACAATGTTGCTGTTAGGCTTAGGTACAAAAACCCCTTGATCAGGGTTAGAGATTAAGATTACGTTTGGCCTAAAATTTTGATGTCAAAACCCAGTTTCGATGTCACAATCCCAGGAGGAAACACGGGGATGTCTCAGTAAAATCAGTGGCTTTTTGTGGCACTATCCCAGCTGGAAATCCAGTGTCAGGTTGCTAAAAACATCATTGTTTGGTGGCTAAAAGCTGCTGAAAATGCAACGATGACTCACTGAAAAACAGGCTTGACACTTCTAGATGTCATGCCATCCACTATCCCCTCCGCCTTCAGACGACAAAGTCACCTCAAATACTACGTCACTTAAGAAACATCGATATGGTTTACAAAAATGTACAATGTCAACATTTTCCTCTGGCGACTGGGCTGAACATCCCCTCATATAGACACCTGAGGCCTGTACTACGAACCAGGATTTGGAGTTAGCGAGGTTACTTCAGGGTTAACTCTCAAATCATCTGATTGGACAATGGGAAAAAACTGGTGGATTGCCCCCTCTGGGTTGGGAGAGAGTTACTGCCTCAAGAGAGGGAGTTCAAGTATCTCAGGGTCTTGTTCCCGAGCGGGGGTAAAATGGAGCGTCAGATGGATCGGCAGTTTGGTGCAGCTTCTGCAGTGATACGGGCGTTGTGCCGGGCCATCATGGAGAAGAGGGAGCTGAGCTGGAAGGCAAAGATTTCAATTTACTGGTCCATCTATGTCCCAACCCTCACCTATGGTCGTGAGCTCTGGGTAGTGACCGAAAGAATGAGGCCAAAATGAGTTTCCTCTGTAGGGTGTCTGTGCTCAGCCTTAGAGATAGGGGGAGGAGTCAGACATCAGGAGGGAGCTCGGAGTAGAGCCGCTGCTCCTTCATGTCCAAAGGGGTCAGTTGAGGTGGTTCAACATCTGATCAGGATCCTCCTGGGTGCCTCCTGTTAGAGGTGTTCTGGGCACATCCCAGCTGGTAGGAGGCCCCGGGGCA